CAAAGAAAGATATTCAAAGTGCAAATTATTGGTTTGCAAAATATAGAAGTCTTTTGAAAACTAATAAATCACCAGATAATATTAATCCTGAACCTAAGAGAATATTGGATGATGAGAGATTTAAATTATCCTGGATTGATTATAATGATTTCAGAGGTATCCAGGAATTGGGAAAAGGAGGATTTGCAACTGTATATTACGCACGTTGGGAAGATAGAATTAATAATACACAACGTAATGTTGCACTTAAAGTGATTCGTGATTCAAACGAAAATGAGCAAGAATTTATCCAGGAATTGAAGAATTACTGTGAAATTGGTTACAAGAATCCTTCATTCTTGGAATGTTATGGAGTATCAAGAAATAATTCTGGTGACTATATTATTGTTTTGAATTATGCATCAGGTTCGTTACGACAAAGTCTTGTACAAGTATCAAAATTAGTATGGAAATATAAATTGAATCTTTTGCAAAGTATAGCTTTGGATCTCGAGTCAATTCATTCGCAAGAACTCGTTCATAGAGATTTACACAGTGGTAATATTTTGCAATGGCAGGTTTTGCATACCGCATATATCACAGATCTTGGACTTGCTGGAAAAGTAAAGGAGGGAAAAATTTGTGGAGTTCTACCATATATAGCACCTGAGATTTTGATGGGTCAACCGTACACTCAAGCGTCAGATATTTACAGTCTTGGAGTCGTCATGACAGAAATTTCGACCGGACAAAGAGCATTTGATGGGATTCTATTTGATGATTGCCTTGCATCAAGAATAGTCTATGGATCAAGACCTAAATGTTTAGGACCTGATTGTTATATTAAATTAGCTATAAAATGTATGGATAAAGAACATGATAAACGACCTAGCGCAACAGAAATTATTGAAATAACCACTCGTTGGTTAGATGAAATGGATCAAGAAGGTGATAATGAAATTAAAAATCAAATTTTGGAAGCTGATAAAATTAAAATAGAACCAATTGAACAAATACATTCACAAGACATCTATGCTAGCAAACAATATGATACGAAAAAAATTTCAGAGTATTTTAGCAAGCCGATTAGTGTAATAGAATTTGAGTGAAATATAAACTTATTTTTAAATTAAATTAAATAAAGTATGTGTTTTTTATTTCTGCTTTTTATTATCTTATTGATTTTTTTTCAAAATGATAATGCAATCATTCTCCTATAATCACACAGTTTGGCATAGTACTGATAATTTTTAAAAAAATATGCTTATAAATAGTTGCGTATATAGAGATTTTTTCTTATATGATGTAATTAGGGGGATGACTATATGAAGGTTAATATACGAGATTTCTATTCATCCATGAGTTGTCTAACTTAACAAGAATGTCATTTCAAGATACAAGCTTGCGTTCTCCACTATCCTAAAATATCCGAGTAATTTTTCTATCACTCAACATTTATTTTATTTGTTTTTGTCTAGATTTAAATTTTTTATACAGTTTATTTTCAAAATATCAAATAAGCCGATAAGCACTAATAATTATTATTTTTATATATCTGTATTCGTATTAAATTGAGAATAAATTATGAAGTACAAAAGATAAATTATTTGTTTTCCGTATTACGGAAATATGTGTAATTAAAAGTGTGAAAGATTACACGCGTAAGTCTTGAATAGCTTCCATCTCATTAAACAATCCAAAATAGTTATTAATAAAACTTCTACAATTTAATTTTCTCCTTTAATCTCGAATCCGATATTTCATGATCCTTTTGTTTAAACTGCGTTTGCCAACTCTTGAAAATGAATTTTCGTTCTTATTAACAACATTTAGAAATTTTATTATTAGCGGTTGTGTTAACAATATTAGCAATATTTGAATATACAAATTTTTTATAATCGATCTGAGTTGAGTATTGAATGGATCAAGTGATCTAGCGAATTTATGATGTTGTCGATGGAAGTCGTGGGTTTAGTGGCCAAAATTGAGATCTTTGCTTGTTCTCTCTATTCGATACAAATATAAAGATTCCGATGTTCCAGTATACGTTAGTGCAATTATTGAGTATTAATCTTTGTTCAGTTGCTAATTGAAACACATTGTTTATATATTTATAATTTGTTTTGGAGTTAAAAGCGCTTTCCCAGTGGTTAGTAGCCATATATTTTGGCTTGCTATCTAGTACCTGATGTTCTCAATAATAAGAGATAAATCTTTTTCGATCGAATTTTTGTTTTATGAAAGACCATCAAAGGTGATTTCTTACAAGATCATCTAATTTATGCGCAAAGATAATTTTTTACAAGACTAATTATTTAAGTTATTTAGCAAGAGTAGTTTGTTCTATAATGTCATTTGTTTGATACTGTATATCAGAAATAATATTTACGATTTTATCTAAATCATTCTAAACTAAACTGCAAAATTTTTATTTATGTAAAATAATTTTTCAACAAATAAATAAATAAACAAATAAAAAAATTACAAAATTTAGAATTATTCCAAATAATAACATAGTTCAATCTATATTTTCATGTATGAATACTCGTTCCTTCATCAGATATAGAAAATGTTCTCTTTCTTCTATTATTTAAATACTTGACAGTTTGCCAAATCCAGCTTATTAAATTTACCGCTACCATTGTTGATGATGTTATAAGTGTAAGTAATGGTATAATATAATATACTATCGTATTTTGTTTATACAATATCTACAAATATAAATAAAATTAAATAAAAACAACAATAATGATAAACTTTTTTTAAGACAAAGCATGATTAAAACAAAACCAAATTACCTGAATAACAAGCTGTCCTAAATCTTGCATAAATACACCGAGAACACTCATCCACCATAACCACATTAAAGCTGTTTCACTATAGGTAGCTTTAAAAAGATTTGTGAATATCCATTGTAATGTTTTAAAAAAATTTTTATGTTCATTCTCATCATCCTCAATATATGTCCATTCTCCTGGTATTTCTTCCATTGTTTTCATTTTAGGTTTTTGATCAGTTTTGGATGTAAATAAATGAGAATCAAGTAAATGAAAAAATTCTGAATTAATACAAGAAAATAAGGTAGTTAAAATAGTTAAAAAAATGTGACGATGATAATAATCATGAAAAAGGGGGTTTTCAGACATTTCATGAAGAATGAATAAAACTGAAAAAGTAGTGTATATAGATAAGGGTACGAAAATTAGAATGATACTAGTTTTATAAAATTTTAATTTTAAAAATAAATATGTAAACGGTTAGTAAAAAATTTTAAGGTAACTCAATTTTTTGACAATTTTGACAAACCTTGGAGAAAATATCCCATCGACATCCCGCCCATGAAACCAGATAAATAGTATATCCAATATAAAATCCGTTAAAATTAACATTAATTTTAGAATTGTATACTTGTTTCCCTTTTAAATTCAAAGAATAATATTAGAATTATGGATAATATACAAAATTAATCAAGATGAGATCGAATTAATGAATTTACATCTCTCTGTTTTCTAGTCACAATGTACCAAATTATTACTATAACAAAAACTCCCAAAAGCAACCCGAGTAATAAGAATTTATATTCTTGGAATACATTTGCTTTTTTATCAAGAAAAATGAGTCACATAGATGTCATTTTAAAATAATTCTCAATATTAACACTTTTAAAAATACTCACAATTCCATTGAACACCAAAATTTTTATCAATTCCAGCTGTCAAATTCATCATTCCTACAGGAGAAATATCACGATTTCTAATTAAAGTATCTAAATCACTTATTACCTTTGCACTTCTCACTTCACCATTTATTTCAGTTCCGATTATAATAAGTATTTTTAAATCATTTTGAGTTGAATTAATCGAAGCAAATTTAAAATTGGATGGAATTGATAATCGAGTTAGCGAAACAGGGGTAACCTGTGCAATTTGTGATAGAAATTGAGGAATTAACTGGGAAAAATTTGTAGCCAAGATATTGAAGAGGTCGTTTGAAAGTTTTATGTAAGCTGTTGCTGAATCTGAAAAAATATATATATTGACAATGATAATATGTTTAAATTACTATATTAGAAAAAAAACAAATTAAACTATTGATACTAACGTGAATATGAATCAGAATAATCAACTACAAAAAACAAACATAAAAAATAAAAATAAAAATTAACGCAATTATTTAATAAGATTATTTGTTAGAATTTAATCAAATTAAAATTATGATAAATAACTCACTAGTTAAAATAGTCCAAAAACCGTCGACAACGCCAACGAGCGCCATATCAGTCGCCATATTTCTTACGAATCCATCATCAATTTTAATAAAATACACTGATTTTGGTTGATTAAATGTACTCTGTAATATTGTGATAGTAACTACGGTTTTAGAAGAATCTAATGTACAGAATGTTGAGTTGCCAGAAAATGTTTGTCGTAGCAACGAACCACTATTTAAATTATTTGATGAAGAAATAAATTGAAATATTGAAATATTTCCGGTAGATAATGAAATAGGTTTAGAAAATGTAATGGATAAGGGAGTTGTATCTTGCGGAGCTGTAGCGTTTATAGATAAAGAAGTTGATGCTATGTTTGGATTTATTAGAGGTTGACCTTTTTTGATTTTGAGAAAAAAAGAAATTCGCAGTTAATAAATAAATAATAATAAAGATACGTATATATATAATTTTCTTGATAATTAATAGAATGTTATTACTTGGATTATAAATTTTAATAACATCGGTCGTTACCACACTCCATGATACACCGTTTCCACCATCACCCAGGACTAAAATAACAGTATTGTTTCTAAATACACCTACACCACCATCATCTCCATTTGTTCCACCATTAATTACAATATTACTAAAATTTACATTAGTAAAAGATAAATCCCAATTTCCTTTTAAATTATCATTAATATCAAAAATATTTCCAATAATTTCACTACTATTTAAATAAATTCTTTGTAAATATCCACCAAAATATAAAGGATTAAAAAATATTGTTTTTATAGAATTTGTTAAAGTATTACCAATAGGAATTGAATTTGTTTTTGTGATAAAACCTGTTAATAAAAATGAAACTTGTGTCCTGGAGATTGAATTACCAATACTTTGAGTGGCTGTCAGTAAACATTTAAATGCTGTCCCTTCAAATGACGATTCACCACATTTCATAATTTCTAATGATGTTAATGTGGTATTAGGATTGTATATTATTAATGGATGATCTATGAGATTGTTTGTCTCTGCAATTAGAAAAGTACAAAAAGCGGACAATTGGGATGTTGTTACAGTAGAAGTACCATATCTAGCAGTGAAAACGATCGCAAAATGACCATAAAATGTAGAAAAGGTGGTATAATTTTGAAGTTCGAGATCGGTTGATGTTTGAAATATCCCATTCACAGCTATCATGAATGTTGGTGGTGTAATAGGATCAATTATTGCACTATTTAGTCTTCTGAAATTTAAAGTTTGTGGTTATTTTGAATATTAATAAGATTTAACTTTAAAACTTAAAATAAGATTGAATATTAAGAAAACTTACTGCGTACTAAACTTAACATAAGTAATCGAATCGTTATTATCAGCTTTAAATGTCCATAAAACATCACCATTACTATTTGAAACAATTTTTGCCTTTGCAGACATATTCGACATGAATGGAGCGTTTAATGGAGGAAAATTACTACAATAATTATTTTTAAAATTTTGTAATATAGAAATACTGTATCGCTTTCATCGCAAATTTTTTTAATTTAAAAGAATACTAACTTTTGAACCACTTTCCCATCTTGGTTAATTATCATGGCCGCATATTGTACTAATACATTTCCAGTACTTCCTGGGTTCGTAGAATTTAAATACGATAGCAAACTAAACTTTCCTATTAATGGATGAATCTCAATTCTATCCACTGGACAAAAATTAATAGGATCAAATTGAAAATCTACATCGTTTGACACTAATACTCCATTAGGTAGAATATATCTCATTATAACTCTTGATTCAGCACATTGGCTGTTTGGAAGGCGCTGTTGTAGACGAATTATTGCGGTACCATCAATTGTGGTGTCAAACTCTACGGGAAAAAGATTAGACTCTGCATAAGTTAAAGTTCTTAAAGAGAATGTAAGTCGCGGTAAAAGTAATGCGCACGTGATGATTATATGAAGAATGTTTATTATGATCATTTGTTTGTTAATTAAATAAAGTCATTGTAAAAGTAACTGTATACGTATGTGCATATAATTAGATTTTGCTATGACTTTATTTGGGTGAAAAATACTTATTATGGGGATTGTTAAAATTTACTATTTGAACTTGTAAACAAATAAAGCAAGAGAAGGTTGATATTTTTTCCAAGATCTTAAAAAAGTTTACAAATTTTATGCCGATTAATAATAGATTCGAACATCTCCATTGTTAAAATATGATCTTGTTTATCAAACAAGTTTATGGCTTTGCTGTTTATAGTTAAGCCATCATTTAAAAATATGTACAGTAACGTTAATACAGTAATATTAATGTAAAAATATATATTTACCGTTACACGTGCTTATAATTTTATACCCTTCCATAAATTACGTACGTACCATCGCCACATGAAAAATTCGACTATAGCCGAAGATGGATAAATTTTACAGATAAGGTCAAGTAAGTTTATTAATTCTCGTTTATTGAGCTATGCTAGTAAAGAAAATTCGATTCCTTTTTTAATAAAGAAAAAATGTTATGGATGAATTAACAATTAAATAATCGTTCCTTGTTGTGCCGATTATTGGTACAATTTTTTTATTTTAACGTAAATCATAAATTCGATTCATGTTAAGAATTACATTAACCAGATAAAAGATATCGTGTGGATGAATTCAAATAAGGAAATTTTCAACAAAAATTGCCAATCAATTCCTTTGTTGAAATTTCCTCTTTATTATATGTGAGATACAGTATTGTGGCTTATTTTTTTATTTTCTGTATAATCTTTATTCTGTAGAGTATGCGCAAGTAAATTAATGCTAATGAAATAAAGTGAAAAGGGTATTGCGCAGTGACGGAATTAAGAGATACATAAGTTACGCGTTCCTTGTTGCATAGAACAAACAAACGAAATAAGCAAAGTTTTTTGTAAAAAAAAGTCTCACGGACAACAAAAATCAATTTTATCGCTACACGGCTTAAGATTCCATTAAATATTTTATTGCGTATAATTATGTAATATGTAATAGAAGTCACAAGTACTTGTCTATTTTCAAAATAAATTAATACATAATAAAATTAATACATTAAAAAAAAATAACCTTTTTTAAGCCTAAATTTCGTAGAGATTGTAAACAATAATTAAGGCAATCATTATTCTACAAAGAACATCAAAGTTATTTATCTTATGTTTAGCACCATCACTATGAAGTAATGTTTTATTCCCAGTTGATGAAGTATTTGTCGCCTTTCCTTTATTTGTCTCACCTCCAACCGTTTTATTATTCACTGGAATTCCTGTTTGAGGCTGTGCCAAAACACTTTTCGGTTCTTTAATGCCTGATAAACAAACAGTTGTATCCCCTTTAACGACACCTTCATTTTTAAACTTGTCAACTTCCTCGCATCTAAATCGTTCAGATTTTGTTTGTACATTTATTCCGCCTTTAATTTCATTTAACTTTGATACTTCGAGCTCGGAAAATGATCCTGTAATGTCTGCTGATCCACCTATCCGCTCTAACTTTGGAAATCCATTGACTTTTTCGAGAGATGGATTATTAGATATTACTAATGAAGAACCAATAGTTTGAAGTTCTTGGAAATTTGTAGATTTGAGGTTTTGGTTGCTGTCTATTGTCATGCCACCAGTTACAGAACGGAGGTTTTGGAGTGTGAAAGAAGAAAAGCTGTTTTCTGATGCCACGAGGTTATTAGATACCGTAGAAAGAGATGGTAAGCTAAGCGAGCCCACACTTTTAACCGTCAAGTCATTTACATTGTTCAAATATGGAGCCTTTTTTTAAAAAAAAATTAAATAATACAATTATGTAAAGAATACATCTTTTTTATATTGAAATCTTTAAAATAGTAACTTACGGTAAAATCAAATTTCCCCTTTCCATTTTCTGTAAGATAAATCGTATCAACGCTTTTCATATTTGGAGCTTGCAAAAATTCTAGCAGCTTATTATTTTCTACTCGCAGAGTTGACATTTTCTTTACTCTCAATACGAGAATTCCTCTTGCACCCGTTTCTGATATCTCTAAATTCTTTGTCTCATTTAACATAGTAGGGAAACTTAAATCGGTTAAACTTGGTAATTTTTTAATCGTTAATGTATCAATTTTTTGAATAGAAGGGAATTCCAAAGTGGATAACATGGTTTGATTTGAGATCGAAATACGTGTGGCTGATACTAAATTTGGCATTGAGATTCGTCGTATATTTTCGTTAGAATTGATATCTATTGTACCCTCAAAGCTTTGTATATCAGGAATGACCAAATCAGAAATTGGGAGTGAGGATATCAATATCGTTCCAGCAAAACTTTTACATGATTTTATTGGTTCCATGTCTGACATTGCTCGTACTTGAATGCTTCCTGAGCATGTGTTGGCTAAATTAATATATTTAAGAAAACATGTTATAATAACGTTAATATATATATACGTATATTTTTTTTTACTTATTTTACATATATTTCATTTTACCGTCAGCATAATATAAAAACATGAAAATGCAGTACATAAATATTCCACATCGTACAGGACTTTTTGTAGCCATGTTAAGAAAATTTTTTTATAAGATCAAAAAAAAAAGTCTTCAACCAGTTAAGGAAATAGAGAACTAAATATTAGTGTGTTGATTCGCTAAAAAAATTTTTTTTTAGAACAAAAACAGCACTCTTATAGTGGTTTTATATGAATATCAAATATATCGATTTTATCTATACTATACTGGCAAGTTTGATTCATTAACACAAGGCGTTTTGGTTTTTTTTTTATAGTAGCTGAATCTGCAAACATTGATGTAAAATTATACTATAGTCAAGAATTTATGGGATTTTTTTTACTATACATCATTTCACCATCGGTTTAATCAAGAATTAGTATGTTTGTCTTATGATTTATGAAGTGATCTGATAAAGGAGACTTTCGCAGATATCTGAGAGAATTACTTAAATATATGATCAACTAGAGCTACAAATAGCTAGATAATAAGGTTATATCCAACAAAGTCCGGAGGAAAATTCCCAAGCATCAATTGAGTCTATCAGTACGGTATCAATATTCTCCCCATTTATTACAACGACTAATATATAATACAGTAATACAATGAAAGATATAGTTTTTAGATTTCTGCATTGGCGGGGAATTTAAACTTCAATTATACCCTAAAAACTATACATCATTAATAAGTTACTATCGAGAATGATGATAATTTTGGCTTATCTTCAATGCAATCTAATTTTTTTTTACATCTAATTTTATTTTCTTTGTAATAAAAATAAACTTTGGACCGAAACTTTAAGTGGAATAAGTGTATTAAGAAATCTGCTTTTTAGAATTTGCGCTTCCTAAAATAAATCTTTGATAAGTTCTTTTTGAATTAAAAAATCCTGATACTCTAACACCATACGTACTATGAAGATGCAACGCAAGAAAGGGTGCAATGACGCTTTTTATAACACTAATATAAAATATACCTAAAATTTGAATAGCTGCAACATTCACAAAATATGCGCCATTCGTGACAGTTACAATAATTATAATACTGTAATAACGAAAACGATTAATTAACACTATTTTGAGTATTTCTTTCGACTTTCACAACATTTGTAAAAACATAAAAGAACTTTGGTCTCGTTCGTTGTAAAATCCTTTGGTTCCTAATAAACGAATAAAAATTAAATAAAGAATTAAAAAATTGAGCTTGAATTGCCTCATTTATATTAAACTAGAAGGTTTACTGCACAAATGGAGGCGTTAACTGCATACTGTCAAGATTGAGATGTCAAAGATTCTAAAATGATTTTATAAATAAAATATAATATCGACTTCATATTACTCATAATGAAATGCATTTATCTTTTTCTAAATCGGTTTTCACATTATAAACATTAACAATAATAAACTGATAACATGAATTGGCAACATGACTAGATAAATTGAAAAAAATTTATTGATGCTCTCAATAATCTGATAAATATTATATTAATTATTTTATCATATAAATAATGATATTATGGTATTTTCTCAAACTTCAAAAAACTTAATAATATCAAATAACATTTACAATGCATTCATTGATTACAAATATGTTATCCAATTAACGTTATGTCATCTTTTTTAACTTAATTATTGTATTCATTGTTAAAGCATATTCTAATCAAGTTCTACGTGTCCACAAGTCTTGATTCCCAGCGATTAATACCAAATTTTGATTGAAATCTCTTCATTTACATCATATAACAGTTTCGAATCATACTTTCGGAAGTTGTAATAAACAACAAGTATCCTGTTGTAAACAAAATGAAATCAATTTTAATATTGTGTGTAAGTCCTTTAAATAAGTCAATATTCCCAATACAGACAGCCTCTTTTTATGGTCTATTCTTTATTATCAAAATTATTACTTATATTCTTTAATATTGAAAGTGAAGTGTGAAATCAATGTCAATAAGAAATTTTTGTTATTCAAATATCGCAAAATGTTGTCACAACAACTGCAACATGTTAGTAATAGAAATAAAAATTCATTTTCAAGAGTGGCAAATGCAGTTTAACCGCGGAAACCGAGATCAAAGAAGAAATTTGAATGGTAGAAGATTATTAGTAACTATTTCGAATTGCCAAAGAGAGATGAAAATTATCCAAGACTTACCCGTGTAATGTGTAATCCTTCACGCTTTTAATTATTCATATTTTTGCCGTACGTATAAACGAAATTATTTAACTATATTATAGTAAAATATTTATATCAATGCATTTTAAATATACATAAAAATAAATAATTCCTGTGTATATCGGTTTATTTGATACTTGTTTAATAAATTTTTGCTCTTAAGCGCAGAATTGACGTTGAAAAAGCTAAACAAAACACTTATTACAATCAATAAAGAGCTTTTTTAAAATATAGACAAGATAAATAAAAATAATAATACAATTATAGAGGGAAATTACTCTAGTGTTTTAGAACGATGAGACGTGTGCTGGCATCCTGAATTGCACCTTGTTAACTCAGGTAACTCATGGATAAATAGAAATCTCGTACAGTTAACATTAATATACAGTAGTCATCCCCTCTAATTACATCATAAGTTTAGGCCATAAAAAAAAACTTCTGTATTCACAACTAATTATAAGCACATTTTTTTTAAAAAAATTCTCGGCACTATGCCAAACTGTGTGATTATCTAGGATAATGATTGTAATTACATTTCGAAAAAATCAATAAAAACATTTAAAAGTTAATAAAATGCAGAAATAAAAATAAACACGTACTTTATATAATTTAATATAAAAACAAATTTTAGATTTCTACTGTATCAATTGATTTACTAACGTAATCTAAAATTTTTTTCATATCATACAACTTGCTAACATATATGTCTTGTGAATGTATTTGTTCAATTGGTTCTATTTTAATCTTATCAGCTTCCAAAACTTGATTTTTAATTTCATTATCATCTTCTTGATTCATTTCATCTAACCAACGAGTGGTTATTTCAATAATTTCTGTTGCGCTAGGTCGTTTATCATGATCTTTGTCCATACATTTCATAGCTAATTTAATATAACAATCAGGTCCTGAACATTTAGGTCTTGATCCAAAGGCTATTCTTGATGCAAGACAATCATCAAATAGAATTCCATCAAATGCTCTTTGT